CTTTCAGAAGTGAACTTGTTTCTCCTTCCTATGGAAGCATGGCTACAATTGCATTTTTTAACAATGTCTGGAAGATAATACATGAATGGGTGAGTTACACCCCTGGTAGCTGAGGATAAACTTTTGAGGGAAGGCACAATAGCTACTAGTTCATGACTTAATTACACACCCTCTTTGAGGTATCTGGGGAGCCTCTTAGTAAACAGGCCATCGAATTACAGCTCTGATCTCAGGCACCTGAGTTCTTGGTTAGCCCACATCCTATTTTGGCCAACAGAGAAGATCATCCGATCCCAGTTTTGTAATATGTCACCCCTGAGAACCAGCACTGTAAACTATTCCCCTGGCTTAAAAGTGAAGTTGACCTAAGAAAGCATCTTTCTTTCTGACCTAATGTGAGATTTCCTCTCCACACACCTGGACTTTTCTAAATAAGATGCTTCGGCTTCTAAATCAGGGGTGTCCAGCCATGGCAACTTGGAAGACGTGTGAACGTCACCTCCTTGAATTTCCCAGCCAGCATGGCTGGCTGGAGAATTCTGGGGGTTTAAGTCCGCAGGACTTAAAAATTGTCAAAGTTGGATACCCCTGCTCTAAATATTTCCCCTTATACTGTGATCTAGGCAGAAAATTCTATGTACACAATCCACAGCGTCGCTCCCTATACAAAACAAGCAGCAGCTTAAAATCCCTGTGAGGTTGCCTCATGCTGGGAGAGAACTGCTTGGCAGGATAAATGGGTTGGCCCACAGTCTCTTCCTTCGTTTTCGAACAGGCCTGGAAAAAAGAAGAACCATCGAGATATGAAAGCCATTATCACTTAGAACAGGGGTAGTCAACCTTGGCTCTTTTATGACNCATGGAAACCTCTCCCTTTCCCCTCAGCGTGGCTGGCTCAGGAATTCTGGGAGTTGAAGTCCACGAGTCATAAAAGAGCCAAGGTTGCCTACCCCTGACTTAGAACGACAAAGAGATCAATCATTAGCATCGAAAAACAGAAAGGTGGAGGGACATTTCTAAGCAGCCCTTCCTCGAAGCTATGACCGTCACACCCACCCCCGCGGTCACTGGGTGCTTGGCAACTGACTCACATTTACGACGGCTCCTGTGCTCACAGGATTGCAATGGGGGACCTTCCCAGCTGGCTTCTGACGAGAAAAGTCAAGGGGGGAGGGGAAGCTGGATTCGCTTAACGACCCCACACAATTCGTTTAACCGTGTGCTTTGCTTAAAACCACAAAATAACCCCCCTTATTGACTGCAGTAAAAATGGGTCATAAAATCAGGTCTGGTTAAGTGACGACTCGTTTAGGGACCACACTGCTTGGTGACCAAAATTCTGATCTCAACTACGGTCGTTAAGTCGAGGACTCCCTATGTACAAAAAGCAGGGATTGTGAGACTTTTCACACACAAGGCCCTAATTCCTCTGGACTAAAACTGGGGGCATCCTTTACTTTCCCCCTGCAAAAGTGTTTATTACAAATGTCCAAACAAACATCTGCCAGTTGTGACCAATCAGCCTCATCTATCATCCTTGATTGTTGTGGGTCCATGGGATGGGAGGGAAGCGGGATCAAAGAACCAAACGGCTGGCATCTCAATCCTTGCCTGCTTTGCCCATTGCCTACCTTGCTTGGCCAAGTCTCATGTGGAACCAGGTTGCTGAGATGATGTAAACTTGCCCATCAGTTGCTGAAGCCTCCAGTATTCTGTTTCTATATCCTAGTAGGACAGACAGTGTCACACTAAGGGAATCTGCAAGGAATATGGCTTCTTATTTGTTAGGGGCAAAGGATCAAGACCGTGCCTTGTTGCAGTTCAAAGCTTTAATGCTCAAGCCCGTACTGAAGAATCTATTGAACTAAAGTTCAATGTTAAATTGATAGATAGATAGATAAATTGATTGGCCAGATAAGGCTCAATGGAATTCAAGAGGGACTGGACTTGGGACCGTTTGCGACAACGTAAGGATTCTAGGCTGACGGCGCATTTAACTCTGTCCCCAGCTCTGCCTGCTCTTCTCCTACATTATCCATCTCGGTCTGTATGAAGTTTCAGTCTGCGGAAATAATTGTCTTGCTTTTCGTTTTCACCAAAAAGCTTCAAAACTCAAAGAGAGCCATGGATGAAGATTGCAAAGTAGCCCTGGAGGTGCAGTAGTTAGAATGTAGTATTTGCAGGCTAACTCTGCCCACAGTTTGGAGTTCAGTCCTGATGGACTCAAGGTTGACTCAGCCTTCTATCCTTCCAAGGCCGGTGAAATGAGGGCCCAGATTGTTGGGGGCAATATACTAACATTGTAAACCACTTACAGCAGGGGTGTCAAACTCAATTTCATTGAGGGCCGCATCAGCATTGCGGTTGCCCTCGGGATGTGGGTGGCCAGGGTGGGTGCGGCCTACTGGGTGGGCGTGGCTGGAGTGGGTGTGGCCTACTGGGTGGGCATGGCCAGCTCTACATCGTTCGCGTCAAGGGTGCCTGTGGGGGCCTGGGCAGGAGTGGGACAGATCTGAGGGTCTCTGGCAGAAGGGGGTGGGACCGGGGCAAGCGCCAAGGCATGGTCCATTTCTTCCTTCCTCACAAAGGGTGACACCTCCCCAGCATGCACCCAGGGGGAGGGGCCAATGTGGCAGGGGCTGGTTCCTCGTTGTTTCCAGATGGCCTTGTGGAGCTAAGACTGAATGCGTTTCAGCATAGATGGCCACCACAAAATTGTACATTGGCTCCCGGCCAGCCTGGACCAGGGCCAAGGCAGTGGGGGCCATTCCCTCACTGTTTCCAGGATGGCTTCGCAGGCCACATGAAACCACTTCGCGGGCCACATCCAGCCCCCGGGCCTTGTGTTTGACATGTCTGACTTAGCGAGTGCTGTGAAGCACTGTGGAGTGATATATAAATCTAAGTGCTATTATTATTGCTAAGAAGAACATCGTCACCCTTGGACTCCCCCTCTAGGCCTTTCTTAGGTCAAATTCCCACGCCTGCTTCCATCTTCTCCCGTCTCCACCAGGAACTTTCCAAATATTTTAATGTCCGGAAAAGCCAACTCCCTCAAGGAAAATGTTCCACCATCCATCTGGGCCAGGTGAGGACTCGGGAAGAAGGATGAGATGGAACTAGAGGAAAAATCCACGCTCACCTTCAGACCCTGAATGGCATCTTCTAGAAGCCTTAAGTGGTGCTTCACCCCGTCAGATTGCTGGAGGGACAGAACGATGGGGAAACGGGGACTTTCCTTATCCAGATGCTCAGAACTCCACTCTGGATCTGGAGGGCCATTCAAAGAATTTGCTGCGGAGATAATATTTTTTTTTACAGCATAATGGTTGAGGTAGTCAAAATGGGCCCAAACTCACATAACAACTGTCTAGGCCAGGGCTTTTCAACCAGTGGTACGGGTACCACCTGTGGTACATTGGCACCTGGCAGGTGGTACGTGATCATCCTAGAAAAGTGGTAGCGGGGGAGGGGAATGAGCTGAACCGGTGGCAGCACCCCACAAGCCTGAGCGAGAGACGGCTGGAACTGCAGGGCTGTCAGGGCTCAGCGGAAGCCCTGGAGCTCGGCGCTGATCCTGGCGCTCCCGCTGAGCCCAGATCAGCTGGAATGTTGCAGCCTCTCCAGGGTCTTGTGATTTACATTCAGATGCTTGGCAACTGATTCATATTTATGACGGTCACAGTGTCCCAGGGTCATGTGAAGTGACCAAACCCTGCTGCAACCACCCAGCAGACGGGGGGAATAAAAACCAAACACCCCCCACACCACCCTCGCTGCCAATCCTCAACAGAAATGCTCACAACAATGAAAACCTCGGACAGGAGGAAGAGCGCTGCCAGGTGGGCAGGCAGGTGTCTTGCTCGGCTGTGGCTTGGGGGGCACTTTTTTCAGTGCCATTGTAACTTCGAACAGTCCCTAAGCGAACTGTTGTAAGTCGAGGACTACCTGTACTTTATCACTTTTTTCCTTTTTTTTTTTTTTGGTCATCAAGTTTTTGACACCTTGCTAGGCGACTGATGGTACTCGGATGTTGCCATATCGTAAAAGCGGTACAATGGGTGAAAAGGTTGAAAAGCCCTGGTCTAGATTAGGAATGGAAATTTTGGGCTGAATTGTGGTCGTAAGTCAAGTATGCTCACCTGGAAGCCTCCTGCTATTGTCTCCTTCCATTCTGAAATTCCCATCCCATTCCTCTTCTCCCTCCTGGGGGTCTCCATTCTCAGGAGAAAGATCTGTAGGTTCTGCGGGAAACAGGGCCTCTCCTTCGTCCGGTATCTGAAGTAGCCTCTTCAGGGCCAAAACTGGAAGGAGACAAGATTGTCCCCTTACATCCTCTGTGGGCAACAGAGACTCGCTCAACAGAGAAGAAGGAAAAAAGGTATTTATTAAATACCTCGGTCCCGGGCAGCAGAAGCTAGAGAGAGCTGACCAGGAGGTTGAGATCTGCAGAAAGTCTGTAGGTCAACCATGAAGGCCTCCACCGCCTTGTCCATCTTTGCTCCACCAACAGGATTCCGGTCCTCAAACTCTGTGCCTTCCAGCATTCCATCTTTTTCTTGCTCTGAGTTGGGAAAATCAAAAACAAAACACAATCAGATCCCCGCTGTTGTCTCTCAAACTCCGAGGACAGTAAAAGCCGCATAAACATTTCTTCAGCCTGTCTCTAAAATATTGAGAGATTTGGTTCTAAGATGATATTACAGAACCTCCAGATCAAGCTGAAAACTCGAATTATTAAACCGGATGTTTATAAATCAATTCCAGATGACTCAAGACGCTCCTGGGCCTCCCCCCAAAATAACTTTTCTGGAATCGACTCAGAAATCTAGCTCAGATCTACTTCTTCTGAATTTAAATCTGAAAGTGTAAATCAGGGGTGTCCAATCTTGGCTACTTTTCAACTTGTGGACCAACTCCCAGAATTCCCTAGCCAGCTTGGCTGGCTGAGCAATTCTGGGAGTTGAAGTCCACCAAGTCTTAAAAGTGGCCAAGGTTGGTCACCCCTGGTGTAAATCATACCACGCTGATTTTTCTGAAATGACAACCCCAACAGAGTGGTTTTCATTGACGAGGTAAGAATGCAGGTTATCTGCCCCATCTTCTCCTTTTTCCCTCCTCCAACTTTCCTCCTTACCCTCTGACTGCAGTGCCTCCTTAAGGGGGCTTCCATTTTCTGCTCCACCCAAAAGGGTCTCTGGGTAGCTGCCAAGAAAAAAATGAGAGATGTCAGTCTTGGTCACATACCTGCCTAGCTTTCTGACTTGAACACAAGTGTCTGTCTTTCCATTGAAGAACGAGTTTCCTGCTCTCTTTTCTTGGCCAATGCAGGATTTGTGGTTCCCAGCCTGCAATTCTGGCTCCATTTTGCTAAGAATCCAAGGTTTGTATATTCTATAGATAGTCCTCGACTTAAGATGACAATTGGGGACTGGAAAATTAAGTGGTGTGTTCATTAAGAGGCATCACATGACTGCACCTGTTTTTACATCCGTTTTTTGCTGCGGTGGTTAACTCAGACATCAAATGTTTGTGATTTGTGACCTTTCCTGCCGGCTTCTCCATTGACATTGCTTGTCAGAAGCTGGCTGAAAAAGTCAGTCATAACCATGGGACGCTGCAACTGTCATAAATGTGAACTGGTTACCAAGCGCCCAGATCATGATTACGTGACTGCAGGGATGCTGCGACTGTCCTAAGTACAAGGACGATTGCAAGTAATTTTTCTTCAGCGCCATCATAACTTTGAACAGTCACTCAACAAATAGTTATAAGTCAACACTATCTGTATTGATCAGCAGGTAGAACACAATAACTATTTCTTGTTAGGACTGGTGTACTGTCCTTCCATCTAGATCAGCGGCTCTTAACCTTTTTGTGCTCTGGATCCCTTTGAGAGTCTGTGGAAAACTAAAGATTCATTCTTGTAAAATGTTATTCAAATGCATAAAATATAATATAGAGTCATAGATAAGCAAAGGAAGCCAATTATGCTCAAATACAGTAGCTAAAATATTGAATAACTATGATATAATATAGCAATCTATGGACTTCTTCGCTAATCTAATGAAACCAATAACCAGGCCAATATCCTTTTAAGATATAATAATCGGATACAGTGAGATTTATGGAGCTTAACAAATATCTTTCAAGTCCCTAAGCCATACATTACTTTGTTCCTACATACCTTATTGGAAAACTAAATTTCAGTTAGTCAAAACGGAAACAGAGTTGTAACTTTTTTTCCCATCCAAGATCATAGAATCTATCTATGGACCCACAAAGAGATTTTATCTATGGATTGAAGGTTAAGAATCTTAGATCAAATTAACACCTTATTCTTTCTGCAGGGATAGGCAACCTTGGCTCTTTTATAACTCGTGGACTTCAACTCCCAGAATTCCTGAGCCAGCCATGCTGAGGGGAAAGGGAGAGGTTTCCATGCTGAGCCATGCTGGCTCAGGAATTCTGGGAGTTGAAGTCCACGAATCATGAGGGGGCCATAGTTCCCCCATGCTGGCTCAGGAATTCTGGGAGTTGAAGTCCACAAGTCATGAGGAGGCCATAGTTCCCTCATGCTGGCTCAGGAATTCTGGGAGTTGAAGTCCACGAGTCACGAGGGGGCCATAGTTCCCCCATGCTGGCTCAGGAATTCTGGGAGTTGAAGTCCACGAGTCATAAAAGAGCCAAGGTTGCCTACCCCTGCCTTAGGGTGAAATTCTGATTAGCTGTTTTGACCTACTGGCAGTTTAGAAAAGGGCTCAGGTCTACTCAGATCTCTTTTATCTGAAGAAAAGGTCACAAATACAGCTTTCAATCTCTGCATTATAGTCTCCATTATCCTTCCCCCCCCTCCGCCCTCTCCTCCCCTTCCTCCTTACAACATTACTTACTAGCTGGGACTATGGGGTGAAGTCCGGCTTGTTACCGAAAGCCGAGGTTTGTTATTGGAAGTGGGCAGCTTCAGTGACCCGGCAGTATCGCTAATGATGTTGCACCAGCTAGGATGGGAAAAAAAGAAAAGAAAGAGAGTCAGGGGTACCATCTCTCCCAAGCCAGTGTCCACCCAAAATTTTGGGACAGCGAATACCCCCTACACACAGAATTTCTCACCAAACACAAAGGTTTTCTATTGTGATGAGATTTGGCACAACCGCAGCAGCATCTTTCTGTCACAATTTTGCATGAACAGAGCTCAACTATTTAAAGTGGTGCTTTAAATAAAGACAGAAGACTCCTCTCCATCATCCCAGTTGAGGCGGGGGAGAGGAGAGAGAGGGAGAGAAAGAGAGAGAGAGAGAGAGAATGGAGAATGAGAGAGAGAATGGAGAGAGAATGAGAGACAAAGAGAATAAGAGAATGAGAGAGAAAAAGAATAAGAGAGAATGAGAAAGAAAATGAGAAGAGAATGAAAGAGAATGAGAGAGAGAGAGAGAGAGAGAGAGAGAGAATGAGAGAGAAAGAGAATAAGAGAATCAGAGAGAGAGAGAATGAGAGAATGAGAAAGAAGACAATGAGAAGACAATGAGAGAGAGAATGAGAGAGAGAATGAGAGAGAGAATGAGAGAAAGAGAATGAGAGAGAGAGAGAATGGAGAATGAGAGAGAGAGAATGGAGAGAGAATGAGAGAGAAAGAGAATAAGAGAGAATCAGAGAGAGTATGAGAGAGAGAATGAGAAAGAAGACAATGAGAGAGAGAGAGAGAGAGAGAGAGAGAGAGAGAGAGAGAGAGAGAGAGAGAGAGAGAGAGAGAGAGAGAGATGCTCCTTCATCCAAACTAAGTAGCCAATCAATCTCTCACCCCGGTCAGTACCGGTAGTCCTTGACTTACGACCGCAATTTCTCTTGCTAAGCAAGACAGTTGCGAAGTGGGTTTTGCCCCATTTTACGACTTTTCTTGCCACAACTGCTAAGGGAATCACTGCAGCTGTTAAGTTAGTAACCCAGTCGTTAAGCGAATCTGGCTCCCCTATGGACTTGGCTTGTCAGAGGGTCGCCAAAGGGGGATCGCGTGATCCCCCCGGGGACGCTGCGACCGTCATAAATATGAACCAGTTGCCAAGCGTCCGAATCTTGATCACGTGACCCTGGGGATGCTGCAACGGTTGTCACTGTGAAAAACAGTCGTTAAGTCGCTTTTTTCAGTGCCCTTGTAACTTTGAAAGGTCACTAAAGGAACGGTTGTAAAGTCGAGGACTTCCTGTAATCTGGGCAAGTTAAGTCTCCCTTCCCACCCCAATTTCTTACTTCTTCCTTTCTGACACCGTCTGAGCCACCAGTTCGTAGATCTGAGCCCCGTTCTCCCAGCTGAAGATCACGTAGAAAGCCTTGATGTCTGCAAGAAAGAGGAGACTCTGAATTTTCCTCCTAAAAGAAAAACAACCTTTATTTCGAGCCTTGACCACGTCCAACCTGGTCAATGAGAATGTGGGCAGAGGTCCAAACCAATCAACACCCAAGGCCAAAGTGCTGCTTTCAGCTCCCGTGACCGTCTCCTGCACCCACCTGTGGCCACTTCGCGGGTCATGGCAGAGTTGAGCTTGATGATGGGGGACAGCATTTGTTTCCCATCGGGGGTTGGGGTGATTGTGCGGCTGTGACACTTGAGGACCAGGCGTTCTTCCTGCTTCTGGAGAAGAACCAAGATATCATCCAGCAAGAGGACGTGGACATCTGGAAGGGATCAAGGCATGAGAAGTATGAAGCCAAAGGTGATGGGGAAGAGGAAGTGAGGGGGAAGGAGGGGAGGAGAGGGGAGCCCTAAAATAGGTCTCTGAGACAGGCTGTGACCCCCCAGCTTGTCTTCCTTAGCTGGTCTAATGCACTGTGCTCCAGTTCCTATAATTGGGTGGCAAGGTTGGTTTAGATCAGGAGTAGGGAACCTTGGCTCTTTTAGGACTCGTAGACTTCAACTCCCAGAATTCCTGAGCCAGCATGGCTCAGCTTGGAAACCTCTCCCTTTCCCCTCAGCATGGCTGGCTCAGGAATTCTGGGAATTGAAGTCCACGAGTCATAAAAGAGCCAAGGTTACCTACCCCTGTTTTAGCTTGTGATAAAATAAGACTTAACATAAAAGATCGAGACGCCAGCTGAGATACACAAACCCAAACTTTTGACGACAACCAAACAACCAACAATGCAGAAGATAACAGAAGAAGTGGGACAATCAAATATTCAGACAGAGGACTCAATTGAACCAACAAATACAGCTGATGGGAAATCCAGAAAAGGAAGTGACAGCGCCGAAAACGGAAATGACTTTCTATATAAATCAGAAGAAATTTGAGAAAGAATAATACAGGCAAGCAATATCGAGCGAGAGAGGCACAAAAAAGTGGGGAAGAGCAGATAGACCAGTGATGGCGAACCTTTTAGAGACCGAGTGCCCAAACTGCAACCCAAAACCCACTTATGCATCATCGAGTGCCGGGTGGGTGTGGCCCATTGGCTGGGTGTGGCCCATTGGCTGGGCGTGGCCCATTGGGTGGGCGTGGCTGCAGTGGTAACGGCAGACTGGGTGGGACTAAAAAGTTCAATCAATCAATTCCAACTCTGCAAGATCTTTTTTTTTCCCAGAGAGAAGTTGAAATTGACTGATTGATTGAACCTTTTTTTTTTTTTTTGCACACGGCAGCGGAGGCCTAAAGCGAAAAGGTTTTATAAAACCCATCTGAAGGCCTAGGACTGGGGCGACGGCGCACGTGCCCACAGAGAGGGCTCTGAGTGCCGCCTCTGGCACCCGTGCCATAGGTTCGCCACCACTGAGATAGACCTTCTCATTCCCGGCGCTCCAGACGGTCCCACTCACCAACTGATTTATCCTTGGTAACACGCCACGTCAGGGGTCCCTCGTACACAAGGTTGCGCTTGCTGATATCTGTGTTCTGTGGAGAATAGCTGGTTAGACTGCCTTTTAGCAAAGATTTTCCATTTCTGACAAACCCCCCCCCCCCACCGACACATCACCGTTCAGGTTTTGAAAAACAAGTTCCCTTTTCTCCTGAGGGGGTCTTATGCCTCCCATCACAGCAAGGCAGGCCAAAATTCCACAGGGACAGCCAAGCAAGGTAAGGGTGCAATGTCAAAGCTGTTGAAATGTTGATGACCATAGAAGTCCCATCCCGTTTGGGTCAGAAGCATCGTTTTAAGGCAGTTCCGGGTTGAAAGGATTAGTCAGTGACCTCATTGTTGCCCAGGGGATACCTGTAGGGCAGTGATGGCGAACCTTTTAGAGACCGAGTGCCCAAACCGCAACCCAAAACCCACTTATTTATCGCCGGGTGCCAGGTGGGCGTGGCTGTGGTGGTCCTGGCAGATTGGATCGGTGTGGCCAAGGTGGGCGTGATCACCTCGATATTGCTCGTGGGGAGGGATGCATGTGAGGGCCAGGCAGGGTTGGGGGAGATCCAGGGGGTCTCTGGCAGGTGGGGCAGTGGGCAGGAGGCTCGTTCTGTGGGGTAAGGCGAGGCAGGGTGGGAGTGCCATTGTCGCAGGGCAAGGCGAGGCAGGGGTCAGGGCGGCTGCTGCCTGATACCATCAGCTCCCACACACAGAGGCCAGCAAGCGCATGGGTGCTGGGATGCATCCGGCCATGTGGGACCTCGGCGAGTTAGCGGGTGGCTGGGTGAAGAGGGACAGTTGCCATCTCCAGGGCATGGCGCGCGTGCCCACAGAGAGGGCTCTGAGTGCCGCCTCTGGCACCCGTGCCATAGGTTTGCCACCACTGCTGTAGGGGCTCCTTTCATGTCCCCATCAAGGAGCTGGAGCAAATGATGGGAGCTCACCGTGCCACGTACGGGGTCTCGAACTCCAACCCCACGTCCTAACCAGGCGAGCCACTAGGCTCCTTACCATGGAGGTAATGACTCAGAAAAGACAATTTCAGAAGCTTGCCCTGACTAAGTTACAGGTAGTCCTCAATTTATGACCATCGCTCACCGACCATTCAAAGATACAACAAAGCTATTTCTGACCCGATTCAGAAGCTGCAATGTCCAGGCCTCCTTCCCACAGTCATGTGACCTGCATTTGGGGCACTTAGCAACAGACCTGCATTTATTGGTCACCTGACTGCAATTTACTTTTTTTTCTGGAAATGGTTGTTTTATTTCTGGTTTCCAGAAAAGAAAAAGTACCGTAGTAAATAAGGCGTTCTCTTAATTCCCCCTTTAAAAAGGTCATAAAATCAGGTCGACGACCTGCTTTACGACTGTAATCGCTAGGCTCAATTATGGTTGTAAGTCAAGGGCTACCTGTACAGAGATTTAAGGACAATTCATTTACTGTTATGGCTTCCCCTGTCCCCAGTTGGGTGGAATGCTCTGTTGGGACTCACCCGAAATTCACTCAGCAGAGGATCAGTGCTTTGTTTAAGGTTGGAGAGGTCCAAACGCCGCTGATAATCTTTGAGTTTCTGAAAAACATTAGGACAGGGCTTTTCAACCTTTTCACCCATTGTACCACTTTTAGGATAGGGCAATATCCGAGTACCACCAGTCACCTAGCAAGATGTCAAAAACTTGATGACCAAAAAAAGAGAAAAAGGTGATAAAGTACAGGTAGTCCTCGACTTACAACAGTTCGCTTAGTGACTGTTCGAAGTTACAATGGCACTGAAAAAAGTGCCCCCCAAGCCACAGCCGAGCAAGAAACCTGCCTGCCCGCCCGGCAGCGCTCTTCCTCCTGTCCGAGGTTTCCATTGTTGTGAGCATTTCTGTTGAGGATTGGCAGCGGGGATGGGGTGGGGGGGTGTTTGGTTTTTATTCCCCCCCCCCCCGTCTGCTGGGTGGTTGCAGCAGGTTTTGGTCACTTCACATGACCCTGGGACACTGTGACCGCCATAAATATGAATCAGTTGCCAAGCATCTGAATGTAAATCACAAGACCCTGGAGATGCTGCAACATTCCAGCTGATCGGCGCTTCTACTGGGCTCAGCAGAAGCACCAGGATCAGTGCTGAGCTCCAGCTGGAGCCTGGCACTGATCCTGGTGCTTCCGCTGAGCCCTGGCAGCCCCGAAGAAGCGCTGATCCTGGCGCTTCCGCTGAGCCCTGACAGCCCTGCAGCTCCAGCCATCTCTCGCTCAGGCTTGTGCGGTGCTGCCACTGGTTCAGCTCATTCTCCTCCCCCGCTACCACTTTTCTAGGATGGTCGCGTACCACCTGCCAGGTGCCAATGTACCACAGGTGGTACCCGTACCACTGGTTGAAAAGCCTTGCATTAGGATGCCCGTTTTTTTAACCAACGCTGAAGTTGTGAAGAGCAAGGGAAGACTTTTTCAAAGGCGAAATCATTGCTCAAGGGAGGATCCTTACCAGTAAATTCTCCATAACACGCACTTCTTGGTTGACGTGGTTGAGGATCTGACGACAGCACTCGGCCGCCCTTTCCACCTTCTGACGTTCCTCGGCCTCCTCTGAGGGACAAGAAAAAAATGAAAGGTCTGTGAAGGTACGTTTCTTTAGACTGATCTTTCCACTGAAATCAAGCTAGGTCTATTTTCCACGAAACTGGACGTCGGGAAAGACCGAAGGCAAAAGGAGAAGGGGATGGCGGAGGATGAGATGGTTAGATAGTGTTAGCGATGCAATGAGCATGAATTCGGGCCAACTCTGGGAGACGGTGGAGGATGGGGGGGGGTGTCTGGAGTCCTGTGGTCCCCTCTCTGCTCACCAGTGCATTTGGCAATAGAGTGGAGCAACAGCGGATACTTGGTTAGCCTCTGCATCTCAATAGGAATGATGTCCTTCAACTGTAATCGCCGGCATCGAGGTTTACTTTCTGCTTCCTGTGGAAAAAAGGAGAAGAACCGTTCACCGACCAGTGAAAAGGTACCTGGAAAAGGTATTATGGAAAGGCCCTCTCTGGGGTTGCCTCTCAGATCTGTGTAGCTGGTCTCTCCCATGAAGAAGATGCTCTCAAAACTATTTATCCATCCTGTCTGTCTATCCCCCATCCATCCATCCATCCATCCATCCATCCAATCTATCATCTTTCTATCTATTCATTCATTCTATCTATCCATTCATCCTATCTATCTATCTATCTATCTATC